TATAAATTTCCAAGCTGAGAGCCACCACAGAGATTCATTTTAGGATGATGGAGGGTTGGGTTTGGGGGTCACACACAGAGGTGCTCAGGAGACACTCCCACTTGGTGTCAGAGCTTACTCCTTGGTAGCTCTCAAAGAAACTACATGCCCCAAGATTGAATTTAGTCCTCCTGCATGTAAAGCATTTTCTATAGCCATTCTTTTTATTCTCTGTGCAGTATATTACCATCAAACGGCTTTTATCCTAGAATACAATGGCAATTGGTATTTTGTAATTAATAGTTTAATGCTCACCTCTTTGTGCATTATATTTAGTACTATTCCAGAAGAGCTGGTTGGAATAATATAGGGTATAAAAGCCTAAAAATCCTGAGTCTGCCATTTTTGTGAAACATTCTAACCTCCTTTTCCCTTTCAAGTGCTTTTATTCCTAGTATCTAAATTATAGGGTGCTAACTATATCAATATCATCTGCTCTTTAGGGATATTTTGTTGTTCACAATTGTCTACTTTGTTATTTCTGTATTAGTATCTTCAAAAATAGTCTACTTTATGAACAAATGCCAACATAAGATATGAAAGTATATGCAATTATCTTTCTAGATTGAATTTCATCTCTCAATATTTCATTGGCAGAAATAGAAAGGATATAAAACGAGCTGAGCAGTTGCATTCCAGCCTTCTCATGCCCTACTGAGAGTGAATTTATTTAAAAATCTCTTTAGTTATTTTCTCTATGAATGTTCTCTCAAATATTGAGTGACATGAAGATTTAGAATTACATTGCAGGAAGCTATTGCTACTTACCCGAAGCAAGCAAGTGAAATTATACTAATTTGCCACCCCAAGTATGAGGTAATAGAAATATACACATCCAAAAAATATGCCCTTTAGCCCCAGAATATCACTCTCTGAGCTAAGACTGTTGCTTTCTCTGTGAAGCTTCCTTTTCTAGGCTGTGTTCTTACAACTTCTGGTATCCTTTTCATTTACCTCACCAACTTTATGGATTTCATAGGATCCAGACAACATTCCTTGCTGAAATTTGATAAACAGCTTTACCATTTTGATAGCCAAGACTAGAAATATTGATCAAAAATATAAACAGTATAATGAAAATTCAAAATAAAGTTGATCAAATGTGTCAGAAAATTCCAAAAATTGAAATAAAATATCTTGAAGTGAGAAAACTTTCTTGCTACTCCTTTGCACCACAGATAAATAAAATGAAAACATTTATATGTCTCTTTTGTTTTACTTTAGTGATAAAAGGAAAGTAAATTCAGATCTAAAAATTGTAGATTTTCTTTCTGCTTTCTTAGAAATATTCAGTGATTCCACAGTAACAGTTTGCCCTGATATAAACAGGCAAAAATACAATTCCTCTCCAATTTCAGCATTTTTTTTCTCTCCTGGTATAACAAACTTGGTGATGCAGTGTCTAGACTTCTTGGAAGAGTTATGGAGTATGGAATTTATTCTTTGAGTTTTAAAAATGGCTTTTCAGATGTACACGGTTACATGTAAAAATACAGTGCTTTTAGAACATGTGAAAATAATCAAATTATTTTTCCATTAATTCAAACATTTTGAATTATTTTCAACAGGAAAGTACCATATAGATATTTTATATCTAGTTTCTCTATGTGAAATTACTTTCAAAAGCTGTTGTGTCCTTGCATTGGTCAGTGTGGTTGGTCAAGAATAACCAGGAAATGAGGCTGGAGCAATAGCACAGCTGGTAGGGCGTTTGCCTTGCACGCAGCCGACCTAGGTTCGATTCCCAGCATTCCATATGGTCCCCTGAGCACCGCCAAGAGTAATTCCTGAGTGCATGAATCAGGTGTAACTCCTGTGCATTGCCAGGTGTGACCTAAAAAGCAAAAAAAAAAAGGAAAGGCCCCCAGAACCATCTTAGCATTGTCTAGGAGATCACTTATTTGCAATCAAAAAGTGGAAGGGAAATTATAGGATTATTACTTAAAAGCAGATCACTTTATCTTGATATAACTTGATATAACTTTAACTCTAATTATTAGAACCTACTAATTTTTAAAAGTCCCTTTCTATATTACATAGAAATGGAAGAAGTAAAGCTCTTAGGCTGTATTTATTTAATCTGAATGGTGATGAAGTCTATTGAAAAATGTGCCAAATCATGAATCTAAAGAACTGGAGCTCATTCTCATCATATCTGGGTCTTAATTCCTCAAGTCAATGAAATCGGGGAACCACTTCTCTCCTGAAGAGAAGCTGAATTTGAATTAGACCATAAGCAGTTCAGTTTGGGGCACATTCTCAATTTCAGTGAATGTCAAAAATGTGAAGAATTAGTGATTCAGTTTTACTGAACAAAACACAGGTGAGGTTTTGAATAACTGAGAATCATTTGAAAAAGCATAGCGAAGAGAATAGTTAATTACATTAACTACACTGCCTGATTTGTCAAGGGAGATCCTAAATGAGTTAGATGCACGTATGAACTCTAATGTCTCCAGGTCATGTCCCTAAATTTTATTCACAAACATGTCTTTTTAGACTATAAACAGTGTAAAAGGGAAGAATCATAGCAGTGTCTTTCAAATAGGAAACCATAATCTATTTTTCATGCAGAGAACACATACATTCACTGTTAGGCTTACTTGCAAGGTTTGAAACTACTAACTCTGAAATAGAAAATACCCCCAACAATGAGGAATTTACAAATTACAAATCCTAGAAAACTAAAGGAAACTTAAAACAGGAGCTTTGTATTTAGATAAATAGTGGTGAAGGAGATACTCCCGTTTGCTAAAAATCTACAAGAATTCTCAATTGAATAAAACATTTCCAAAATATGTTCCTTAGAAATTAGTTTTAGAGAAAATAAAATGTAACACATGCACACAAAACATTTTAGAAATGCTAATTTACTCACCTTTATATAGAATTCAATTAAACATGATCTCTCAAAGTTTTTATTTTGTGTCATTTCCAAGCTTATAATAAGACATATTTTACAGCATTATTCAAATGAATTAAAATTGAAAATTTTTTTTCACTTAAACTAGCATTCATAAAATAACACCTACGCAGTAGCAAATAATGAAGGCTATTTAAAACCTATGTAGTCTAGATAAACCAACAACTGCCTTAGAGTCCAGGAGAATGTTATTGATGGGTCCAGAATTATTAATGACTCTGTGACATGCAAGATTTATCGTTGAAAATAAAGGTGTCCTTCTTGTGTCTTTTGTCAATTATTGAACAATTATTTAAGGGTCAAACCATGTTATACAGAGATGAGTAAGACTTTAAACCTGCTTTCAATGATATTATAATCTGGATAATATTAGTAGAAGAGAGAGAGAAAGGTCTGTTTTAGAGGGCACACAGTAGAGGTCACAGAAATACGATGATTTTTATTATTGTAAAGTAAATTCAGTATTATCACCAGAATTTGCAAGCAGTTGCTCTTGGTCCAAATTACAAGACTGTATTATAGAGTTGTGAATTGCACTCGGTGGTTATTTATAATAATACATATATTATAAACAGCAGTCGATTTGTTTAATTTAGTGCTTTTCATTAAGCCTTGTATATTTTTAGCAAATAGAAGCAGTAATATAGTACTGAGTTTAGAATAAAGATGCATTTATCCCAGTCCTTTTTTATTGCTGTAATACTCCATGAATATTTAACAACTGATGAACTGGTCTCCCTTCAGTTATTCCCCTTCTAGTCAGATATTTCCCTTAATTCAAAATTATCATGTATTTATATTTGAAAATAACAAGATACAAAAAACATAATAATTTAGATATTCCATATGTGTATGTTGCCTTAATATTTATATTTAAACACGGCAATTAGAAGAATAAGAAAAAAACAGAAGCTTAGCTAGGGAGATGACTCAAGGTCTGGAACACATGTTTTGCATGTGAAAGCTTTGGTTTCTATCTCAGGTACTGCATGATCTCTTGAGCAATTCCAAGTGTGTCCCCTCCCCTCAAAAAGAACTTGCAATTCTTTTCATAAAAACTATTCCTCTAATCTTTGTGAATTGAGAATCCTTATTTTCATTAGCAGATTCTGATTCTGCAGTTTATGTTGTTGACCAAATGTTTAAAAACTCAGACATGTAGTTCATTCCATAGAAAATTCCAATTTCAAAGAGTAGAACTTTAAATTTACAGGAGAGACTATATAGGGAATGTGTGGCATAAATAGAAATATGGGTCATGTTCTTTATACTATGTAGCTGAGCATGTAATTTTGGGTGGCTTCCTTCTAGAGTCTAAAAAGCATATTGGTTCTAATACTTATTTTACTGTACTGAATACTACAGCTTAGTGAAGAATTATTTGGCTGCCTCATTATTCCTCCAACTAAAATAAATTTAAAGAATTTTAAAAAATGGAAAAGAAATATTACAGTATAGAATAGGGTGGGAGAAGGGGACAATAAGGACTATATAAATTCTAATATATAAGACATGATGCGAAAAATAATAAAGTGATGTGGAATTTACCTATTCTGAGTATTGAGTATTGATGCAATAATTATTCCGTGAATTATTTCTCTATGTTTTATTAAGCTAGAAGGGAAATTATTGCTGAGAATATGATGATTCATTCACGAAATGTGTTATGAGCCTGCTATGTGAGAGATACTAGCATTAAATTGGAGAAGATCCAATACAAAACAACCCAACATTATCCCTGCCTTCACAGTTTATAGGTTAGTTACGAAAGTGAAATGTTTGAGATCTAATGGAGAAGACAAAAAAAAAGTGAGGAAATGGAAGTGAATTAACTTATATTTTGGAGGTGGGCTGCTCTCGGTAGTGAATCAGCAAGCAACGTTTCTTCAATACTAATTTTAAAAAATGCTTTATTTGAGGTCTAAATCAAGTGTAACTTTATGCACTGCCATGGGCCTCACATCCTAAGCAGCCTCATGTGGTATCTACGTTTCTAGACACCCCAAGTTCACCTGTGTTTTTCTTTGATTTCCTCTAGTATATGACTGCTGCCGCTCCTATGCAAGGGACCTACATTCCCCAATACACGCCTGTGCCTCCGACAGCTGTTTCTATTGAAGTAAGTCTGTCTGCCTTATAGAAAGAGATTTGAGGAAATATACTACAATCACATAAACTATGGGTCCCCGGAATCCTTATGTGTGATTTGTTTATACTGATCCAGAATTGAAAGTTGTAAACTCAACAAATGACAGTAGCTGCCTTTACTTGGACTTGCCTATGTTTTGCGTTGTGATTGAATAAAGCTAAATTGCTAGAGTTGTATGAAGATAATGTCCTTTTATATGGAGAGAAAACATCAGGGACCAAGTCACTACCCCACTGAATATTAACCACAAATATTCATAAATAGGGAGGGATTAGAGGATTGCATCGAGGGCCAGGAAGATAGCTAAACGGGCTAATGCATAGGCTTTGCATGCTGGAAGCCTGAATTTCATCCATGGTACCACATGATCTTCTGAATATAATTAGGAGCAACCCCTAGGCATTTTGCCAGGAGTCCCCCTGGAGAACTGCTAGTGTTACCCCAAAACAAAGCATCAAAAAGCCATGTTGCAATAGTGTAGATAAACTTGTTCTCTAGTGCCTTTTTACTCAATGTGTGGTTGGTCCTTACACCACTAACAGCAGCAGCAGCAGCAGCAGCATCGCCTGGGAGTTCCTTAAAAGGAAGGGATTTTTCAGACACCATACAGACTAAATCTGAATTTGCCTTTAACAAGTGTCCTCAGCAATCTAGGTGCACATTAAAGTTAGAAAACTACTGGACTAGTGCTCTCATCCTCAAACTTTTCAGCACATGGAAATAATTTCAAGAGTTTAAAAAATGAGTGATGGCTGTGTTCTATTCTGAGAGATTTTGATTTAGTCTGAACTATGGACTGGGTGTCAGAGTTTAGATTTTTTTTTTAAGATGTAGGTGATTCTATGATATACCAGATTAAGAGCTAACTGTCCTGCAGATAAATTGGTCATAGTTCTGACACATATCAGGAAAGAGAAAGTTGACAATGACAGAGTCTTTTGTCATTAAAGGAAACTTTTGTTTCTTCTCCTTAGCATAGGACATTCCTCTATGCACCATTTTATCGGACCTAGCGAACAAACAATAGTAAAGGGGAAAGAGTGTTGTGGCTAGTGGAAAAACAGTTAAACATGTATGTTTTTCATGGCTCTAGCCATTATTTTTCTTCCCATTTTCTAGCTTGCATTTACCATTAAATAACAATGAATTCTGTCCCTTCTTGCTGGGTCTCTTCTGGAGTCCATGATCTTGCTACACCATTAGTTGGTCAGCATCTAACATGTACTGTCACTCCACATAAAAGCCAACAGGACTCACAACCCCCAGAGCTATTGAGTTTGGAAGAGTTCTTTAGGAACCAAATTGCATCCTCTAAGCTATTTGTGATTTGTTTTGTTTTGGTGTTTGATAAAGGTTTGCTAGCATCAAGGTTGGGAAGTTGAAGAAGACATTATTATATTGTTTAGAAAACCCAGGGAGATGCATTAAAATGTTTTTCATGTGTCCTGACATATGGCACCAAAGAATGTATTGATATCAAACAACTTTTAATTTCTTTTTGGAACTTTTAGAATATGGGTTTAAAATGAATGTTCTTTGGTATATTTAGCAATCAAAAAGAAAATTATAAATATGTACATTTGGCACTTTCATCTCTTGGCACTTTAAGCATACAAGTGTGCTACATATTTTTACTTCTCTCTGTCTACACCAAATGTGTATGCTCATCTACAGAATGTAAACATTTTGATGACTGTAAAATGAGACACATCTGACAGTGTGGTTTATTGGAAACAGTCTAGTTATTGTTATGTATGGAATTTTTAAAAAAGCCTTTCTTTAAGGGAAATTAAAGCATAAAGTTACATATTGCCTTGAATTTGTGCTTATACAAAAAAGCACTGATTAGTATTTTGTATTTAAAGAAATTAAATTGATAAATTACAATATGAATGCAAATAACTATTGATTGGTGAGAGGTTCAGAAAATTGCATAATTTTATGAAGCAAATAGTATATTGGTGGGGGTGGAATTAATACAGAGAGAACAGTAAATTCTGAAGATAATTAAATTGATCATTAGTTGAAACAATGCCTAACCATGAACATTTGAGAGCAGACATCACTGTAGGCATTTAAGGCTATAAATAAAATTATAAGGATATTTTTATATAGATGTCTTTCTGGCAAGTTACCCATGAAGTATTTGATATGCCAAACACAGTAACAACTAGTCTCACAATGGAGATGTTACTGGGCCCGCTCAAGCAAATAGATGAATGGGAGGACAGTGCTACAATGCTACTTCAGCCTTCCTTCAGTCTATTAACTGCCAATACATCCACCCATGCCTCTCTGAGGCCTAGCATATGTCTCTAATGTTGACCTCTAGAAATCTATTCTTGTTGACATCTATAAAACACAAAAGATAGTGAAGATGAGATGATGATCATTGAAAATTAAGAATTTGGGGGGAGGGGAGGATGGAGAGTTAGCACAGAGATAAATGTGATTGTCTGGCACATAGTCAACCAAAGTTCAATCTCTGGCACTATATTTGGTTCCCAGGGCACCTCTAGGAGCAGCCCGAAAGCCCTCCTCTAATCAAGAAAATTCGAAATGAATTTTAGCGTATGCTGTGGAAAATGAAACAAAGGGATATAAATCTAATTTGTGAATTTGATACCATTTACTTGATGGTATCATTTAAGAGGATTCTAATCACTAATGTAGATTTTGGTTAAGGTACATTATTCTATCAAATCAAATTGACGTGCCAGTGTGTACCTCTGCAGAAAAATGGTTGAATATACACACTTTATAATTAATAATTATGGATTTTATAATTAATAAGTAATTATCTTCTGAAAAACATACAGCTTTGTCTTAAAAGTACTAAATATAGCAACATGCTTTTCATTAGACTGTTCCACGTTTCTTTGATAACTTTCTCATATCATCCAAATATGGTTTGTGGTTTTTCTTTAAGCACCTATTATGACTTTATATAACCAAATACAATCGGTTATGTAAAATGCAATTGGTTATATACACAATCCTAACATAAGAAGAGATAATCACTCTGTTCCATCTAGAATGGAAACTTTTCTGAGACCAATAATAATTTTATACTCTTATTTGCCTTTTTAGGGTGTTGTTGCCGATACCTCTCCTCAGACAGTGGCACCTTCATCCCAGGACACCAGTGGTCAGCCGCAACAGATAGCAGTGGACACATCCAATGAACATGCACCTGCATATTCTTACCAACAATCTAAGTAAGTTCAGCCTGTTCTAAACCATTTTCCTCGGGATCAACCATATCACATCACACTCCTATATTCTGTTAGACTTTGCTATCCTCCAGACCACCACAAGCTTAGCAACAGCATTTGCTGATTTCATGATGGGATACATTTGCTAATATGACTGACTTCAAGTGGATGACTCTTCTGGTCTTCACTGGATTTGCTTAAACATATGGTGAAACTGGCCATCTAGTTTTGTGATATCTATTCTGGATTTTGGTTACCTGTTGGATGAGTAATGAAAGCAGTTACTCCTTATTTTGGGGTCATTCAGTAGACTTACTCTCAGTGAAGTCTCAGAATTCAGAGACCAGCATAAAGGAAGCCTCAATTCTCCATTTGACTCATTTTCTCCTTCCCCAATACTGCATAAATGCAAGAATAGTCTGCCTAAAGACTGGCATAAAATGAGAGAAATTACAGACATTTTTACAGAAAATTTTTTAAACCCACCATACATTGTTTTGAGAAGACATCCATATTTCCACTTGGAAACACAATTATGAGCCTATACTTTTGGAGTTTGTTTCTTCACTCAGATAAAGATTTTAACACTTGCCTTGCAGGGTTGCTTTGGATACCTAGTAAAACAGTAAATGAAAAGTATTGTAAAATATAGAATCACAGAGCCTTATGTAGGAGTTAAATAGCAAAGCAGAAATTAAATAGAATTACTCTTGACAATCCTTACATAACATTTAAAATACAGTTTTCATTATGTTGAGTAATTATGCAGACTAACATGAGTTTTGATTGAAACAAAAAGGATTAACAAAAGCTGAATCTATACCAATGTGCCTTGATATACAAGTTATCTCACTTTATGGATAACAAAATAAATAGCGAATGCTCCTTTTTTATCCTCATCCCCCTTTAACTCCAATACACATTTAGGATTATTTTTCCATATCATGAATCATAATATGGAATCTTTCATAAACATGTAGCTTGGCTTCTAAAGTCAATCCTAAAAACCCAATGTCCTCAAATCATGATTTAGTCCTATAAATATAAGGTATTATTATTGCTGTTATTACTATCATGTAATTACTTTCTGAAAGATCAATAGTCAAGACATTTTGCTTAGTTTTTTTTGTTTTAAAATTTTCTACAGCCTGTTTGAATTGAATCACCTTTATGTAAACTAAAAAAAAAGTGTAAATTCTGTCACTTTATACCAATCCCATTGAAATTTATTTTTTATTTTGATCAGTAAATTAGATCTGAAAAAGGAGCAGAGATTTGCTATGTGGAAGAATAGTGGGAGACAGTGGTGGGAATGAGTAATACTAAGTTTGCCAGAAATACATTTCAAGGCTTAGTAGGTAGGTAATACTTGTTTTGGCTATTTGAAAGCATAATGAAGAAGCAAATGATCCTAAACACTATCTCCTAATGGCTTAATAATCCCTATATAAATAAAACATTTGCTTTCACCCTTTTGATCAATGATTGTTGAATTAGTGCCTTCTATGGAACATGTCATTCATAAGATGCTGGAGAGCAGCCAATGAAAAGAGATAGATTCCCCTTCCACTTTCTTAGAATTGAATTTCTACTGAAATTTTCCAGACCTATGTTTTGGACAAGCATCTGTTGGACCTGGAACATTTTTCCCCCTCTAAGATAAAGTTGGTTCAACTAAAGAATCAATGAACAAATATTCATTTTTAAATTAAATTTTGAAGGATTCTTATGTTAAAATAAATGGCTACATGACTAAGAATTGGTGGAGATCTCACTTAATAACCTAAATCTAGTGACTAAAACTGAATCTTACATCTATTTTGAGAGAAAACTAAAACCTTCTTAGATAGAGAAATTAAGGTCAAAGTTTCAGAAATGGTGGAAACTGAAGATGGAGTGTGGTATCCTGAGAAAAAGAGGCAGAAGATGAAGGCAAGTAGGCTTTTAAATTATGTTTTATTTATGTATTTTTAAAGAAAGTCTTCAGTGCTTAGAATCTGGTCTTTATGTAGAACAACTATTCTCTATTTTATTCTAAGGACTGAAAACTGTTAGTTGGTTTGACTTTTTTTTTTATAGCATTTCATGTCACTCCTTCCAATACAATGTGGAAGTGTAGAGATTTATTTCTAGTGATACTTTCAGGATGTGAATCTTGAAACTGTCTAGAGTTATTTACTCTCCCTACCCTATTAAGTCAGCTTTAATTGCCCCTACTTCTCAGCTCACAATAAGATACTATCTCTCTGATTTTTTTTCATGATACTAGGGATAGAACCCAAAGGCACATACATACAATACAAGTGTTCTACTGCTGAACTACATCTCCTGCCCTAAGATGCTATCTTCTTTTTAGCAGGGTCCCCTTCCTCTGCTTTCCATGGTCATTTTGAAATGTAGAAGAGACAGTACTCTGCCTGAGCATCTTTGCCCTTCAGAAATGACAGTAAGGATTTCCCATCAACTTCCACACCAGATCCAATTTCTCCTGTAGTACCCGTCAGGCAAGTTTTATGCTAGGACATAGGATCCTGCCCTCAAAGACTTACAGTCTAATAGGGGAGTTAGACATAAACAGAGACAAATGTCTATTTTGCAAAAAGAAAATTAATAGACCTTTAAAATATGCAACACTAATAAGATAATATACTTAGATTTCTGGGCTGGAGCAATAGCACAGCGGATAGGGTGTTTGCCTTGCACGCAGCTGACCCGGGTTCGATTCCTCCGCCCCTCTTGGAGAGCCCAGCAAACTATTGAGAGTATCTCGCCCACATGGCAAAGCCTTGCAAGCTACCCATGACATATTTGATATGCCAAAAACAGTAAAATCACATCACAATTTATTGTGAGATGTTACTGGTGCCCATTAGAGCAAATAGATGAACAACAGGAGGACAGCACTACAGTGCTACTTAGCTTTCTAGTAGCTACTTTAGCTTCAGTGTAGGTCATGACAGTTGCAACTGCCTCATATAAGAAAGAAAAATGTCCTTGTTCCAATAGCAGCTGGACCAAAACATAAGTCTGGAAAAGTTCATAGTTTGTTGAGCAGATTGTGGCTTCAAAGTAACAGAATAATGTAAAAGGGTTACCTGAGTCTAGATTCTAAGATCAGGAACCCTGCTTCCAACCTTTACTTTATTTTAGCTGAAGTCAAAAGTAATTTGGAAATAGTGGAAACAAATGGTCCTATTATGGTAATGGCTCAGGCAAGAAGAAACAATTGTCTGCAGTAAGATTGTGGCAAAAGCCATAGATTGGGTGTCAGTTAAAATAAGAAACAAAGGAAAACAGCACTTTGAAACTTCAAGCAAAACTATGAAGTTATTGATTTCCCTAACATAGGAAGATATAATAAAAGCCATGAAGAGCTTCATTTGTAGAGAAAGATAAGTACTGTAGCACTGTCGCACTGTCCTCCAGTTGTTCATTGATTTGCTCGAGTGGGCACTAGTAATGTCTCCATTGTGAGATTTGTTACTGTTTTTGGCATATCAAATATGTCATGGGTAGCTTGCCAGGCTCTACCATGTGGGCGGGATACTCTCAGTAGCTTGCTGGGCTGAGAGGGATGGAGGAATCGAATCTGGGTCAGCCACACGCAAGGCAAATGCCCTACCTGCTGTGCTATTGCTCCAGTAAATAATTCTTTTTAGATTCAATCAAAGATGTTACATGTATTAAAATATTGAAAAAATATTTTAGTGTTTAAAAGTGTTTTAAATGATGGTAACATCATGGTGATCTGCCAAAATCCTAGATTCTTATGGTTAATAATGATGAGCTTTCTGAAGATATTAACTACTGAGGAAAGAAATCCTTCATCTCTTGTCCTCATGATAAAATTATAGTAAAGCCTTCCTGATTTGAAAGAATTTTCTTTTGCACATTTTTGGGAATGTATGTTACAGGATGTTTCACAGGGTGTGTGCCTCGCTGCAACATGTGAAAATATTCAGGACCAAGGACATCTCAAATGTATGACATGTGGAAAGCGCTTATATTGTCTTGCAAACATTTCTTTAAACCTGGAGAACATTTTTTATAAGGTCCTGTTTACATTCTCTACTTCCTCTTTACATGCTGAAGTCATAGGAGCTTTTGCTTTGAAACGTCAAAAAGAAAATATTGAAATAAAGAAAATATTGAATTAAATCCCAAACAGTATCTCACATTAATAAATTGATAGGTGACAGTCATTTATGAAATTATAAAAGTGAAAGAAGTTCATGTGTGATGTGAACCTATCGAGTTTTCATTAAGTTCAGCTAAGAAAAGCTAACTGTATCATGGTACAACATTGGGTTTTTCAGAACTATTCAAGGAAGAGACTAGGAAAGGTATTAAATACCTGTACCAATACATGAGGAGGTTTTTATATAACCGTCACTGGGGAGAGTGGGTCATGCAAGAGTACCCAGAGATGTATTTATTAAAGAACTATTCACTAGAAAGCAGGCATACAACAATAGTTAAAGATTGCACTGTAGAGTTAACAAAGTCCCAACTTAAGTCTCAGAGTGTAACTCAATGATAGAATGTTTGCCTTGCCTAGATGAGTCCCGGTGTTTGATCCCCCATGTACAAATAAAATAAAATAAAATAATAACACCCTAAATCTTTTCTTTCATCTGAACAAAACTACATGGAAAATTAATTCAGGTAAGATCTGACCATTTTCTAACTGTAGAAAAGCCATGTAATCCTTATAGAGGCCAACAGAAATTCTGTTGACAGTCTTGAGATCAGTTCTCAAACACTAACTCTAAGTTTAGAGGTGAAAAATTTCTCTACTTTCTTTTTATATCTTTCTTGTTTATATATAGTAGATAATACCTTTAGAAGAGTAGGCACCAATCCACATTATCTTAAATGTTCTAAAATTCACAAATGGCAGCTCATTTCTAGCATCATTATGTTAATTAACATGCCACTACTTTCATTAGGCAACCAATTTCTAACAATCATTATGCTAATTGAGATATGGATAGTTTAAAATACTTGTAAGGTACCTTTGGCCTTTCTCATTAAATGAGAACTGACCTCCTGTGGGGTGTGAAATTATGATTAGGGTAGTTGAGTGCCCCTGAAGAGTAGTTTAACATACTCCACATACATTTACCAACATGGTATCTATATCAAAGATATTTTAAGTAAAATAAAATCAAAATGATAAAATTTTGCTGGGCAAAATTTAAGAAATACAAAAAAAAATTCTGTGAATAAAGGGTTGTATTTGTTACCATTTCAGCAAATATTTTAATATGCTAAATTCACATTTCTAATCTAAACAATAGTTATTTACAATTTGCATTCATGTTCCCTGCACTCCCATTTAAAATAGAAGACATTACTATAAAAAGGGCCATGGAATCTTATTTTAGAATGCAAGCTATGTTTCATTTTGGGAGTTCTAAGAAAATTTCAAATCTGTCTAAGATGATAACAGTTTTTGCTTCTGCTATTAGGAAACCACAAAAATAACTAGGATTATACATATGTACATATATACTCATATATAATTATATGTAGTCTTATACATTTGAGTTTCAAATAAAGTTACATTCTAATATTTAAAACCAGAATTTCTTGGTTCAAATTTCCCTTTTGCCCCATCCTAGTTGTCACTTGCATTCTTTGGATTCTCTTTTGGAATCTCTTTTATGAAGAAAGAGATCACGTCAAGAGATCTCCACAGAGGGGCTGGAGCAATAGCACAACGGGTAGGGCATTTATTTGCCTTGCACGTGGCCAACCAGGGTTTGATTCCCAGCATTCCATATGGTCCCCTGACAACCGCCAGGAGTAATTCCTGAGTGCAGAGCCAGGAGTAACCCCTGTGTATCTCCAGGGTGACCCAAAAAGAAAAAAAAAAAAGAGTTCTCCACAGAGCACAAGTTCTGTCTCAGATATTGAGGGAGAACAGGATTTACTATTATTCCCAGGAGCAGGGGTGTGACCAGGTGGCCAAAAGTTGTGCTGGGAAACATCGTTTAACCTAAATAAAATGCCTTATTGGGGCTGGAGCAACAGCACAGCAAGTAGGGCTTCTGCTTTGCACGTGGCCTACCCGGGTTCGATTCCCAGCATCCTATATGGTCCCCTGACCACCGCCAGGGGTAATTCATGAGTGCAGCACCAGGAGTAACCCCTGTGTACCACTGGGTGTGACCCAAAAAGCAAAAAAATAAAGAAAAAAGAAAAAAATAAATGCCTTCTTTATGTAAGTTCACTTTCTTTTTTTTTTAAGGCATTAAAATGTTCATGATCATACCTCTTAGAGGGTCATATAAATACTTAAAATATTCTATTTTCTGAAAGAATAAAATGAAAGCAGCTTTCCTTTGCAACTGTTAAGAGGTTTTTAAGATATAATTAAATTATTAAGAAACAAAATTTTGATTGTCAGCATGTTGGTGCTTTTGATATTAGTAGAAGAGTTATACATTATTTTAAAAACCATCTGATTTATCTTTGTAACCTTCTTTCTTGCTTTCTTAATCACATGCTTAGTTTACTGAGTAATCCAGTAGTGGTAGAAGCATGATAGGAGCCACAGAATCACTCTTTTCATTTAGCATCAAACGAAACTGATTCATCAGGAATAATATAGGAGAATTTTCTATCATTAGATACCGTTTTGTTGCTATAATTGTTTTCACTTTTTGGATTTTTTTTTTGGTGGGGGGATGAGGTACATATGACTCACTCTGCTCACAGTCCTGGCTGTGTTGGGGGAACATGTGTCATGCCTGGGATCCAACCTGGATAGGCTGCGTGCCAGGCAAGCACTTTACCAGCTATAACATCTCTTTGCTGCCTCAACAGATAATCTTAAAACTTCTTCAAGCTCTAAAACTCTGGGATTCTAAGATTGTATGTTGTTGCCTCCCAATATATTCATTCTGTTTTTAAAAAGAAGGGTAGGGAGTGGGGTAGAGGATAAGAGTCAAAATAACTCTCAGTTCTCAAACTCTCAGTGCTCAGTTCAAACTCCTCATCTTTGGACATTCACGCTAATCTTGACCTGAGTTTTACAAGGTTTCTTTATTCTTCATATCTTTTCTAGCTAATTGAACTAACACCAATTTGTTATGCACTGTCAGAACATTAATGATGTGCAAATTAGCTTCTTTATTACCCTCCTTATATGTCCTTTTGAGCTTGTGAGTATGAATACACTATTTAGATGCTTTATAGTTTATAAATGGTTTTCATACTAATTATCTCATTCACATAAATTCCTCTTGTTAAGTTAAAACCATTTTACCCATAAAACTGTCTCAGTGTCCTACTTACAACAATTTTGCCGTAAAGGTCACAACCTTAAAAATTTAGAAACCTGCTTCTATGACTGTCAATGCAATTAATAAGCATTCATGAAAATATGTGTTTTCACTCTCATCTAGAACAGACAAGGTTGGCAAGAGTGAATTCAGTTGCATTAAATAGATGCACCTTTTCTCTTCAAACTTAGCAGCAGATATAAAAATGTAAAGAAAGTCCAGTCATTTATTTCTCATTTGTTTTCATGTAGTAATGAGATCACTTGACAGATCAAAAAAAACCAACAGAAGAGGCCTAATGGAAACACTTACAAAAAGTTATGAAACTAGAAAATAGTTACAACCTAACTCACAATGTTTCTTTGCGTCTACTGCATGTAATATAGCTAAGCAGTGAGGGTACTCTATGTCAGTATACCCCAAAAAATAAGACACTATTGAGATTCATCAGATTCTAGACAATTTCTGCTCAATGCCTAATAATACCAAGTGGAAAATGAAATAGAATAAAAGATTAAATAAATAGCAAAATGCAATGCCAATAAAAACATTTATTACCATAGCTTGATTTTTAGAAATAAATGTAGTAACTCTACATTTTGCAAAGGTTTATAGAAAGATCAAATATTTGCTATGATTCCCATAAATACTATATATTTTACTGATATTATGATCATTTTAATTTTATTATTTTAGAGAATAAGAGTTGATGCTGGGACTCAAATCCTTAATTGCATACACACAAACATGTTTTCTACCATTGAGATACATACCAATCATAAATTGCATTTCTTCTAAAGAGAAATATCACTATCTCATATCATACAGGAGAATGTACTTTTGAAGTAAAACTACTGGTTAAAAATGGAAAATTTGATCTTTCTACTAATTGCTTATCTTATGTGATTTTAGGAACAAATTAATCAGATTTCTGAAGATAATAGCTGACTTATCTGAGATGGAGATCTTGTTGATAATTCTATTTTCAAAGAAAAGAACCACAACACCCCCCATCCTGCCTACACACACACACACACACACACACACACACACACACACACACACAAAACACATGTATCCCAGGATCCTGTGCAGTTACAAACATTACTGTGAACTTTTAAAAAAAAGTTAATAAAGACTTTTTGCTCAGGCCTGAATACACCAAAATTTATAGTTACGGAGAACAGACTGCCTGCTGTAACTTTGTTTTTCTGCACAAAATCTACCATGCGTCTTTTATAATGACCAACTTGAACAACAGCAACCCTCAGGTTTATTTACTAAATTAAGCAAATGAGCTTCAGAAAAATCTGCAAAGTACTGAATAATGTGACTTTCAACTAAATAGAGCCTTCGGGTTACTGGAAACATCTTCTCAGAGGATACCCTGAAATTTTTTAACAGAACTTAAATTTATGGATGTAAAACATGAGTAAACATCAATTTATTAGAACACATTGGTGGGGCATCATTACAAAACATGATTTGGACTAGACTAGGGAAAGTGGCATTTATTAAGAATGGCAAGTGTCTAATTAAATCCCAATTATAAGCATACCACTCTGCCAGATTTTTGGAGAGCAAAGAGTAGAAGTAAACTACAGTTAATGCTCTCAAAAATTTAAAATCTTCTTTTGATATACAAGGAGAAAAGATAAATGAACACACTTTCACTGCCCTCTTAAGTATCTTATTTAGTGGTCTAAGAAGGTCTATATGAATATCCTTGGTGAAATCAACACTGTAATGTACAAACATTTTCTCTAACTTGGTTTCATAGTATAGACTCCAATATTTGTTGGCTGAGGTAGTAATGAAACCCATGGGAGTTTGGAAGGGACAAAACTATATAAAAAAATTGTTTTGAGTGGTTACACTTGCACCTTCACTTAAATACAACTTCTATACACATAAGGAATATTGCCTATGTAGCATAACGTTTCTTTAGAATGTAAAGAAACTCTTAGTCTTTTATCTTTGATACGCAATATCAAAAATCTCACTGGATCAAATACATATTTGTGAGAAAATGGCAGAATTGAATACCTTCATATCCCTAATATAACTTCCTATGTTGGAAAACTTGGTATCTTTTAAAAAGATCTCCCTGGAAAAGAACACATAAGAGATTCCAAAATTACGTGGATTTAATGATTATTACTTTTTTTTCACAGACCATAAACAAGACTGAAGAATGTCTGTTTGAAACTTTGCCTTGAATGAAGAAACTTCACTGAACAAGAAGTTGGCTTCCAGTTTGCACAGACGTCAATGGAAAGCTTTTTTTTTTTAATTTTTACTTTACCCAGTGAAAACTAAATGTTTTTTATGTGCTGTGCAAATGGTTCCTTCATATGGTCTGACAGTTCATTTTTGCCTTTTTTTTAATTAAAGAAAAAAATATCCGAGAAGAGGAAAAAAACAGCAAAACAAAGGATGAGGGTTGATATTTTATCTGGAAGAACATTTGACTTCAGAAGTTACCTGAAGGTGTAGATAAATTTGTTTCTTTCCTTTTTTTAACAGAAAATCTGATGTCAAGAAGTAGGCAAAAAGGAAACAAATTGTCTTCCTTAGTAATTAAAGTACTCTTCCTTTTTCCTTCTTGTTTAAATCTAGTGGATTTCTTTTTCTTAGAAATATTTAGGTAAGGTTTATCTTGAATCTTAATTGCCTTAATTTTAAGGACGTCAAAGCTCTCTAGGCAAGCTGTCAACGTCTTGTTTAAAAAGAAATATCAAGAAAGAATTGAAATATTGTGCCGGCTTTAACTGGTACAGAAGTTTAAGACTATGCGTTTTTAGGGTGAAAAAAAACTGTACAGTCTAAAAGAAAATGTTTTTCTTCATTTGAAGAAAATTTGTTGATAAAAGAAACCATGGAAACTGCAAGAATTGAGAAAATGCTGGGACTTTTCATGAACTTTGTCTTAAGTGTTGAATCATTCTAGAAGGCTAAAACATTTTATGGTAAAGTTATTAATGTTGGTTTTAAAACAACTGCATTAGAAATAATGCGTGTTTGGGGGACAGAATGCAGAATTTTTTAATTTACAAAGCGTGATCGATCGCTAGCAAAAGCATTAGTGCTTTTTATCTGCAGTCTTTTTTATGAGCTTTACAAAGTTTTTAGTCAGCTTTGCTTGTCACATTGCAAAACTTAGCTTAAGAGCATTAAAAAAAAACTTAGGTAGATAGGAGCTTATGGTCAAAAAGTGCAAAAAAAAAAAACAAAAAAAAACAAACAAAAAAAGAGCAATAGATAGAGAAATTGTTGACAATTTCTGTAGTCTTTCCTAGTTGTGATCAAATTCAGCCTATGGATGGCCTATTTTATACCAAAGATAAAGTGGTACCCTATTGCAGTCCAGAAGATGAGGTTGTTTTTCTTTTCTTCTCACTTCTTTTAAAAATTTTATTTGATCTACATGGCCGGACCAGTTCTTACATTGTTGTTTGTTTAAACTTCCTTCCACTGGTGTTTTGCATACTGCAGAAAAAATAGAGTTGCTTTTAAATGAACATTTGTTCATAACGGTAGCTTGCATCTGCTGTGTTCAGCAGTTTCAGTATGAAGAATTCTGGATATCAATGGAGAGTCAAATGACGCATTCTGTGAGTTTGTCTGGTTCCTTGCTTGCTCTCTTGTATCGTGAAAACCGCATTGAAGGCCATCAATAAGCTGAGACTCTTGTTTAACAGGTTGAAATTTCTTTATGTGAATTTTTTACTCAAGACACTTCCTGAACCTGGTCTGAAAGGTCACTTGTCAACAAAACTTAGTGATACTCATTAAGTGGTGAGTGGTTTCCTAAAAAGGTCTCATTGTATTTGTAAGATAGTCTTCTTTCTAAATTTCAACCTCTTAGTTCTGTCTCTCCACCTCAGTCTTTGTCATGATTCACCATAAAGAGCAATTTTGATTTTAATTAGGTAGAGTATATCTTCCTTTTTTTGCCTTTTTTCATATCATCTTCATATTCTTGTGTTGTCAGAAGATAAATTATGCCTTTTTTTACACTTAAGTTTAACTCTCTGAGGCAAATATGATCAATAAAATTGAGAGTTTTATTAGTGGAATTTAGGTAAGCTTTTAAAATGCTTGGTGACAATCAAAAAATTACATCATTTATGTTAATAAGAACCAAAATAATTAGGTTGGTCAATCATTAAACACCAAAGGAGATATAATTGCTTTGAAGATGGATGCAGCACTTTGAAATGAATGAAATTGACTTGACAAACATCTTCATATTTGATTCATGAAACCCATGTTGCATCTATACAGTTTTACCTGAAATTAAGGGCAATGAAACTCTATTAATTGAACCATACCCAAGAATTTCTTTCTAGATGACTCATGGAGTTGAGTTGGTGAACATCTCTTCATATAATAATCACAGAACCCTGTCTGTCCAGAAGGAAGAGGAGAATACATTAAGTACACTGTAAAAGAAAAAGGGGTAGGTTTTAAAAAAGGTTAAAAGGTAAATGATATTCCCATTTGGACATCAATAAAGAGTTTGACTCAGATGCAATTGTTAATATTCCACTATTATGGCCTTAAATAAAGGCCCAGCGTTCAAATAGACTCAATTCTCTTATTTGATATTGAGAATTTCAAATCTAGAAGAAGCTACATCTGTATAGTTTATAAGAGACAAATTTGTATCCAAGAAAATGTGGGATGTGCTACAGAGAAATTCAAATTGGTCATATCCATCCTCATGGTTTTTTGTACTTTAGGAAGAATTCTAGCTTTATACTTTCTTCTGTTTCATCCTTCAGTTTCTTATGTGTTTTAAGGATGGTTAGTTAAGTTCTATCTTTGAGAAGTCAGCCCCTAAGTTAATGGGGAAAGGTATGAGCGTGTGTGGAAACTTTATTTTCTGTTTCTCTTTTTCATCTCTGAACTCTTTGTATAAATAAGGATTATCCTGGGCATAATTCATTTGAATATGAAATCAACATGCCTTTTTTTGTTTCTGTAAAAAATTTAATGTGATACAAAGAAAGTCTCATTTATACAGTCAAAAATGAGGCTAAGAGGTAGCTACCATGTGGCTGTTGAGTGTGCCTAGGTAACTTCCTTTTTTTCTAATCAAAACTACTGCTTTATTTATACATTCAGGAACATTTTTTTCAACTATAAAATTTCAATGTTCTAAATTTTTTTAAGCCAATGAAGGCAAAACAAATTTATTCAGCCTGTCATTTTATGTGTGTTTGTGTGCTTTGTGTTTGCATTTTTATATTATGTCATTCTATAAAATATTTTTTAACCAAAAAAGAAAAAAAAGGAAAGATGGCACATCAAAATTTGCTCCCTTTTATGTCATCCTACTTTAAAAACAATGTGTGTGTTTTTTTCTCAGTCAAGTCTGAGCTGGGTAGGGGAAGGGGATTCACAAATAAAGCAACATATTGTCTGAAAATGAAGCAAATCAAATTACCTGTCCATTACATGCAAACAGGCATATATTGATATACAGACATCAGAATTTCAACTTAATCAGCAATATGTGACACAGTGGGTGATTTTAATCCTATTTAGGACGATAATCATTAAAAAAAGTATTTGTGGTTTACCGGGCTGTCAAATTTTTATTCAGATGTCTTAAAGTTGTCTTTCAACTTTGATTGCCAAGACTTAGCTTCGCAATTAAACAAACAAAAACCACAATTCCAATGTGATAAACACTCTCTTACCCATACTCTAGTTATAGCATTAGGACAGGAGTCGTGTTTTCTTTTAATAGTGGCAAACTGTTATCAGGTGAGTGAGTCAAACCTGGTACATGAACTACCCAGGTTCAATCCAAGAACGCATGCATTCGTATTGTTCTCAGTGTCGGTGGCCCTGTCTTCTTCTGAAGACATCAAGTGAACGGAAGGCAATGCTAGCAGAGACATATTGGTGACTGTCCTTAATATTGGAATGTCTTGAATATTGCAGGTGACATTTTTCTGGGAAAATAAGTAAAGACCACCATCTCAAAAACTCAACAAATGTTCTCCCTGACTCAAGTTTCACCAGGGTTATTGTATTTACTGGATAGACTTCAGTCGCTCACATATTGTTTTTGTCCTTCATCCGAATCAATTCTTCCTGTGACCTTAAGAGATATGCAACATTTGACAGCATATAAAATTCACTTCCTTGCCCCATGCCCTCTTCATGGAAACTCCATGGTCATCAAAGTACTCAGACAGGAAAGGCAGGCGAAGAGCCAGAGACCTGATGGAGCAGGTTTTTCACTGCACTGCAGAGTACATTGATGCTTGTAAAACTTCAAAAAAAAATCATGTTAAATGATTTATCATCCCCCTCAAAAATATATCTGTACCCCAGTATTTATTTAAATAATAGGGATGTCTATTACATACACATGCATTTTTTCACAGTAACCTAAAAATCAAGTCCCTTCTATGAAAAGAGAGATTTTATTTAAGTAAAACCTTTGCAGTTTTCATTACTGATAGGTTTCAAGGGGCTGTCTAGACAGATTATAATGCTAGTTGAAGACTAAAAGTACATCAAATGATTCAGTCTCATTTTTAATTTCAATGCACAAACCTCTGCAGGTGAGCTGATAAGCAGAGAGAAAATTTTAAATGGGTTTTAGTGAAGTGTCTTTATATGATTTTAAATCAAGTGAAAGGACATTTATGTACATGTGAAATAACCACCAGTGTGTGAGAAATCATACTTCATAGAACCTAGTCTACATTATCTTGTCCATAGTTCAAATTTAAGAATAATATCTTGTTTTTTATGTGTTATTATAGCTAACATGCTTTGAAATTCTTACGTTGCTGGTTCTGACAGATTCTCACTCTAATCTGAAAGATTGATCAAATTTAAACAGATTCATTGATTCTGCGCATTATGACAAATTAAATAATGGCATTTCATTAATAAACCTTTATTCACAAATGACATCCACTATGACTATGGATGATAGTTGAATCTTACTTAAATCAAGAATTTCTTGAAAAATATTCTTAAATATAAAATTGGTCCCTTAGTCTGAATTTCCTTGATAATAAATGTTCTGTGTGGATTAGATAAAAGCCAGCTAAATATAAAAGCCAAATAGGAAATATCACTGAGTAGTTTCCCATATTTGTGATGTCTTTCTCCCTTCCTCTGGTTTTATAATCCAATACATTCTCATCCTCCCTTCTCTCTCTCTCTCTTTCTCTCTCTCTCAATCTCTCTCTGTGTTTCTGTCTCTCTATCTCTGTATCTCTCTGACTCTCTCTGTCTCTCTCTCTCTTCCCCTCTCACACTCTCATACACATGCACATAAAGGATGACTTATTTCTGGAAAAGAAAATTATGTTTCAAGAGAAGCTTCCTTCACTTGGGAAGCTATAAAGCTGACACAGAGCAGAGACAACACTTAGAATTTGCGGGAAGAACCACTAGGCCATTGAGTCTCATTTTTCTTGTGTTGTAATCATCCCAGTTAGTAACTGCCCAGATTACTGATATTTTACTCTCAATGTTTTAAGGGCTAATGATCTTTTTTGTGTGTATTTGTTTTGTCTTTTATTCTCAACTATCAGGTCTTAGGTCCTGATTACTTGTATTAGCACTTC